TTATCCACAATCCAAATCACAAAATGCAACAAGGGCAGGAATAAGCAAAGTGTATAATTGTACAGATGACTAGCAGATGAGTTGTTGTTGTGTTTTTTTTTAATGGTCCTAGAGTTGTGTGTATGATCTTTTTGGTCTTTGGGCCACATGTCCAGCTCTGCACTGATCAACAGAGCCTGTTCAAGGACGAGCACAGTCATACTGTGTCTCACCCCAACACATATATATATCGATAACATACTTTCTGCTGCTATGTTCCCTATGAATCAGCAACAGCTTATTTTTGAAAAAAGAAACTGATGAACTACTCCCCATAAAGCCTATTTCTTTAATTGTCCAAAAGACACTGCAAGTACAGACTTTTGCTCCACAACAGTAATAGCTTAGAGCAGTACACATATTCTCCTGCTCCAGAGATACACTTTTCTATACCACATATCTTGCTTGGAAATTTGTCAGAGCCAGGTGTTTATACAGGAAAATGAAAAGTAACATTTCCTTGACTGATGTCATGTTGCTTTCACTTATACAAGAAAAACATTTTGGTATCTGAGACAGCTAACTGAAACCAGTGTTATAGTAAAAATACAGAAATTTAATTTGCAAGCTGTACTTGTAAGGAGTAGTATGCCGCAAAGACTAATGCCCTACCAACATGGCTGATGCTGTAAAAAGATACCACTTAATATCACCATTAGGAAAAGATGCCATGTACCTAACAAAAAAAGTCTGCAGAAATAGGCTTAATAACATCAATGGTGTTTCTCAGGAAAAATATATAAATAAAGTACTTACCATTCAAAATTTCCTTAAAATATTTAAACCACAAGTAACAGTGGTCTTCGCTTAAGTTACTGAGATTGAGAACAGAATCCTTAAGTTTGTTTTGTTCTTTTTTCAGACAGACAAATAGTGTAATGCCCAATAAAAAGCCACCTTTCTGCTGTCCAGCCAAACGACGACGTTTCAGTTTTACAGAAAATACATCTTTCATTTCAACATGTTCCTCTTTACACTGCAAGTCTATGCCGGAACCACCTGCCCAAAGAAAGAGTTAAGCATTGTAGTTAAACAATTTTTTAAACTGTAATAATTTATACCTCTTCTCTAAAGAAAAGTATATATACAAAATATGTATTAATACTATGTTTTGCAGATGCATCCTTGTTTTTACTTTTTTCTTTATTTCCTGCCCTCAAGTGTTCTTTCTCCTTTCTTGTCATTTTAGTCTCTTGAGAATATGTACAGTTATTCAGTTTGGTATAGTGGTTAAGTGCGTGGACTCTAATCTGGGAGAACCGGGTTTGATTCCCCACTCCTCCACTTGCACCTGGCTGGATGACCTTGGGCAAGCCGTAGTTCTGATAAGAGCTGTTCTTGAAAAAAGAGCAGTTTCTGTCAAGAGCTCTCTCAGCCCCACCTACCTCACAGGGTGTCTGTTGCGGGGAGGGGGAGGGAAAGGAGTTTGTAAGCCGCTCTGAGACACCTTTGAGTAGTGAAGGGTGGGGTATAAATCCAATCTCTTCTCCTCTTCTTCTTCTATTAAAGTAGAAGGTTAAACGGGCATTCAAGGCCACAATTTAGCACTTCCCAGAGAGTGAACATAGCTAGGCCACCAATGACACCAGGACACCACAAGGTGTTGAGTTAACTCTAGAGCCTATTTAGGCTGCCAGCTACTGTGGAATGAGAACAAAAGAATCACCGTAGAGTGGACATAAAGTTCACCAACACTGTCCATTATCAAGGTATTATAAGTTTTTAAACCGGTTTTCAACCTGTTTCAAACAGCCTGTGCTACTCTAACTCCCCTTCTGTCTGACCATAAGAGCTCTGCTTGTTCAGAATAGATGAGATGTAACAGAGTGATTTGGAAAATATTAAGAAGAAAAATCAGTAAAAAGGGAGTGCATTTCATGAACTTCCTTAAATGAGCCCAGGGAGGTTCATTTAAAGGACACCTTTTCTCTTCTGTTTCAAACCAGAATGGAAAGGTAGCAGTGCTTCTGAAGCCTCCCCTTCTCCTTTCTTTATCCGTACAAAGGCAGAAGCTGTGAGCCAACACACTGGGCAAGACAAGATTGACATAAGTAAAAGAGAAAGGTGAAAAGTGACTACGGTGAAGTAAATCTGTAAATGGAAGCGCTAACAAATGAAGATCTTTTGTTCCTTAATTGAAGAGGAGAGGATGCTGAAGAAGCATGCTCAGAGAAGAAAGACCTGCAATAGGACCCTGCTTTTGATCAGGCTGAAGTACCTGCAAATTGCTCTTCAGGTAGTTTACTGGGGGGTGCCATGGTTGGGCAATAAGGAATGGGTGACTCCTCTTCACAGTTGAAACTTCAATAGCTTCAACATCTCTGAAGGAACTAAGATTTTGGATCTTGCTCCATCCATGCACCTCCCCCTCAGTATCACCATGCAATGGCCAAGGAAGTCATTATTTCAGTTGTACTACCTCATGATAAAATCACCAAGAACAAAAAGAGAAAAAGTCTATTGGACCCAAGTACTAAACCTCTTTCCTCCTTTCTCAGTCAATAGTCATATTCTAGTTATAGACAGCACAAGAATATGAGTCAACCAAATCAAGAAACAAATCAAGAAACCTTCGGTGGTTCATCCGGATGGTCCACTTCATCCTGGCCGTGGGATCGGCGGCGCGTGTTGCCGCCGTCGCATCCCTGGCCCCCTGCCGTACTGCGCATGCTTGAGCATGCGCAGGACGGCAGCCTCCCCCTCCGACTGGTATCTTCCTCCCCGGCATCTGATCGTGCCGGGGAGCAACAGAGCGCGGCAACTGGGATCCATGGGATCCCGCTGGGGCGTTTCTTTTTTGGCGCAGCTTTTAAAAGCCGCGCTTCGCCCCGTCTTTTCCCTGCCGTGTGGCAGGGGCCTTTGATTAGCAGTTCCAAATACTCCTTGCAATTCCCGATTAACAGGTTTTATTTTAATCTTTACTGCAAGAAGACCCACTGGCATGGATACATTTATTTTCACCTGCACAGAAAGGAAATCAGTGTTATGTTTACATTTTTATATCACAATTAAAACCTAGTAGGTGTTCAAGGTGACAAACACCTATAATTTAAAACTAAAATGCTTACGTCCATGATTTTAAAGTGGAAATCTCTAGATTTAAGAATATGCCCACATTCTCTCTCTCTCTCTCTCTCTCTCTCTCTCTCCATCTTAATTTAAATCAATGGGAAAAGGAAGAATGATTACTGTATTTATATTTACCATGTTTATGATCCTCTAAATAAACTACACTTGCAAAAAAAAGCTCATGAATTATTTTTTTCCATCCAAGAATTATCTGTTCATTAGTATCATACTGATTATTGCTAGCTGTTTCAAAACATTAACTATCTTCTCATATTACCTACAAGGATACAGGGTACCATCTGTTCTTACAAGGGATTTAAGTATACATTAGATATCATGCTATTTATTTAATTCATTACCCACTTCCCATTGTTATTTTAAAAGTCAATTTAATTACAAAGAATAAAGATAATGTTTCCTGCCAATTTCTTCCATCACTATAAAAGCAAAGCTCTTCATAAAGTAGGTTACACTTGTTAAGTTTGCTTCTCTTTTTAAGAACGCTTAGCGTTTTTAAGAAAGGCCTTACTAAAAACAATACTACATGGCACTTAAAAATTATTATTATAAGCCAAGAGCTTGTCTAAATCAATTTTGGCACATCTGCCTGATGTAGAGCATAAACAGGATTAGAGCTGGATTTATCTGCTTGACGTTAATTGTACTCAGTTTCTCCACATGTCCACTTTTTCAATACATTAAAGTAAGCCTGAGAGACATTAATTTCAACCAGCATGTGCTATGCACCTACTTAAGGTATACAATATTATTATGTAACAGAGCTATAATAAAATGGTTTCTAATTAGAATTAAACTTAATACATAAAATTATCTTCAAAATTCCACATACTCTTCCCTTTAGACTTGAAAACAAAATGGGGAAGAATTCTTCATACTCTCCAGTTTGTTCCCCTTCAGCCCCATATGCAAATGGAGGAAAGGAACTGTGCAAGGCAGACACATACCCTTTAGCATACATCCTCCAAGCTCAGCTCCATAGGATCCTTTAAGTTGCCTGCCCCTTTTGCAGTTTAAAAGAGGGTGGGCTGGAATGTTGAGACTGACTTAGCTTAGCCTCAACCATTATGGCTTTGCTAGGTCCTCACGCTTAGCTCTCAGGAGCAGTTGGGCAAAAGGAGCCCCTGACAGATGGCTGCCACAAGCTGAGCTCCTGGGCACGGCTGTCTTCTGAGTCCTCCTGCCCACTGGCTCCACACAGCTCTGGGCAAGACAAGAGTCCACCAGGTGGCACCTGATTGTTTAAATTATTTGGGGACTAGGGGGAGGGGATTGGCTCAGAGAGTACCCCTCCTTCGGTGCATGTTCTTCAAGCCCAACTACAGCCCCTCAGTAGAATAGATTCTAGAATGGAAAAACACTGCAGTGCAAATGGTTATTTGCACTGCACTGCTTTCAATGTAACATGCACTCAGATGGGCATTCAAGTGTGCATTCTACTGAAAATAATACTACATGGATAGACCACCTACATTGGGTTAGGCATTTGGATGTGTACAGCTACACACCTCATCATTAGGTAAACAGACAATGATTTAGACAAGTGGAGTTGCCCATCTATTTTCGATGCCTAGCAAGCAATATGAAAACAAGAGTTTCATCAGTAAAGGAAAAATAAAATCTTTCTGTGTTAAAATTCTGTATCTCATTATGCATGGTTTTGTACCATTGCATTTGGTAGGACTCATGCACTTATTGCTTTACACAAATTTACACTTTTGAAGAATTTTGTTGTGCTTTTTAATGTAATTGATTAGAACAAAGACAAACTGAGACCAAAGACAGCTTCTGCACATAGATTGCGCTTTTGGATTGAGAACTGCACATGCAAAAAGTTCCTGAACAATGAACAAAGATGCACAACCATCATACTCCACATGCAGCACTGAACAACCTGGTTGGTGTGGCTGGATCTGTTGTGGAAGAAAGGAGTGATTCTAACCTTTTCCTTCTCCGTAGAAGATGATGGTGAAGACAAATTAATTTAAATACTGCCCTCCCCCAAAGGGCTCAGGGAGGTGCCCAACATCTAACAAGTACATATATCAATCAATAATTAAATTCAGTTTAAACAATTCAACAATTAAAACAATGCAATACATGCAGTAAAACTAATCCAGGTGGCATCTGATGCCAATTTATATGCTTTCCGTGGGGGGAGAGTAACAGCGGTCAGGCTTGACGGTAGAACATTGCTGTCCTCAACCATAGACCTGGGGAACATCTCTGTCTTACAGGCCCTGTGGAACTGTACCAAGCCCCACAGGGCATGGATGTCACTAAGCAGAGAGTTCCACCAGGCTAGCACCAATGCCCAAAAGGCCCTGGCTCTGGTATGGAGCCATGGAGAATTTTATATAGATTTGTGACAAGCCACACATGCAACAGAAAAACAGGTTGCTTACCAGTAACTGGTGATCTTCTTCGTGATCATCTGTGCATTCACACCAATGGGATCTAGTGCGCCTGCGCTGGATCTGCCGGTGCCTAGCAAGCTCTCTTAAAAGGATTTTCGTGCCTGGCCCAACTGAGCATGCTCAGGAGCCCCAGTGAGCATGCCCAGAAGGGCAGGCACGGACATCCCGCCAGTTCCTACCAACCGCCGCGCATCAATCTCCTAACAAAACAAGTAGAAGAAGACAGCAGCAGGGCAGGAGGGCGGGTGGTGTGAATGCACAGATGACCACTCGAAGATCACCAGTTACTGGTAAGCAACCTGTTTATCTTCTTCGTGGTCTCTGTGCTTCACACCAATGGGAGATTAGCGAGCAGTAGCCTACCTGGAGGCGGGTGCTGTCAGGTGTTTACTGCTTAGCCGATGATAAAACCTGACGTCCCAGACTGTCACTGGTGGACTGGCGGACGTCTAGGGCGTAGTGCCTGATGAATGTAACAACAACAAGCCTTTATTA